TTGCTATGTTTCCCCTATTGGGCCCCGCCCCTCAGACCCCTGGGGTGCCAGACCCACGGTTTATACAAGATTGGTTCCCCTTCACCCAAGGATGCTTCAGACCAAATATGGACCAAATCCCTTCATTCCTACAGAAGAAGAAGGATTTTAAAGAATTTGCTATATTTCCCCTATTGGGCCCCGCCCCTCAGGCCCCCAGGAGGGCCAGACCCAGACCCACCATTTGTACAAAATTTGTTCCCTTTCCTCCAAGGATGCTTCTGACCTAATTTGGTCAAAATCTGCTCAGTTGTTCATGACTAGTAGCGTTTTAAAGAAAAAGTTGACGGACAGACGGATGATGGATGGATGGACGACGGACGCTGCGGTATGGCATAAGCTCACCATGGTCCTTCGGACCAGGTGAGCTAAAAGTAAATCAACTGAACTTTTACCAATCATAGAAAAAATATGTAACCGGTTAAGATAACACAAAAGATGGCCATAACTACCATTATAAATGGCTCAAATACTCATTCAGCTAAAATGACCAAATGATGTTTCAAGCTCAGACAAGAAACCTTGTCATGATATGTGACATATATTTTACCCAATGATTGGTGGTTAGTTAACTTCATTGACTTTTTTTTTTAAAAGACTCAAGGTTTTACCATTTCTAATCAAAAGAGTGTTGATAAATATGATCATGATGTCACAAATACATTTAGTATGACAACGCAAAACATTATTTTAAGCTGTCAAATATAATTAATCGCTGGAAATGCTTTCAATATTTCATTATGCTATGTTCCAATAATATGCTTCTGCTAGAAATCAACCTGGGTCCTCTGTTTTACTGATCTGGCATGCTGCTGAATAAGCTTAAGCGAATATCTTATTAGCCCAATCAGCAGAAGGTCAGGCTAGTAAGTCAGTGGTCCTGGGTTCAAACCCTAGTGAAAGCATTGTATTAAAAAAAAGACCCCTGTTACAATCCAATGCCTCATGAATGAAGAACTTAGTCATTACAGAATAAGAGGCCTAATGGTCTTGAATCGCTCACCTGGCTATTCCTGGGAAATCAACTTGAAATGTGCTTAGTAGTTTGGGTCCAGAGCCCCAAGAAAGGCAGACCCTTTATTTGTGTTACTTTAGACCCCCATGGGCCACAGACACTATCACAACAATTTATTTAA